TTAACAGCTTGTATTTTAAGGATTCATATAATTACTATTGTAAATTTTATCTTGCATACATTTTGGTAGTCATTTTTTGTTAGACATTCAGAAATATTTAGTCATAGTCTAAGAGGTAGTAGGCAATTGTGCTTGGTTCTGGGGCTACAAAGAATAAGGTTTTATTTCTTCCTACAAATGGCTTATAGTTTAGATTAGAAATGGAAACACGGGGTTGGCAGTGTTCAGTCCTTCTTGAGCAAGAGAAGCGGGAAAGATTTCATTGAAGAGATGACATTTGAGCTGAGTTTTATAGATGAGTAGGTTTTTCGCCACGTAAAAGATGAAACTCAAGCCAGTATTCATTAGGCAAATGGGAGAGGCCATTCTAATTAGAGAATTTTGTGTATAAAAAAACAAGGGTATGAAAAGGCCTGTTATAAGTACTTAGCAGCAGTTCAGTGTTGCCAGAGGGTGGTATGTGAATGGGGCTATAATGGAAGATTGAGGCAAAGAGGCATCAGAGACCCAATCAAGAATGGTCTTTGTTTATAATAGAGTATAAAAATTGTTTAGGCAGTGGGGAAACCATTAAAATGTTTAAGTAAGCAAATAACAATGACTGGTAGAGCATATTTTTGTTATTTAAAAAACCTCATTTGTAATACCTTAACTAATAAAAAAAAAAAAAAAAGAATGCAATACTTCAAGACCAGCTTCTATTTATACATATATGCCTAGCCATTTAATAAAGTCTTGATTTATATAAATTGTTTTAAAATAAAATAAAATAAAAAATAAAAAATAAAAAACCTCTATGCTTTAGTAAAGAAAGATGTATTGCAGTGTTGCCAATCGAGCCAGGGAAACCAGTTAGGAGGTTAATGTAATAATCCAAGCAAGAATTGAAAGTCTGAAGTAACCATAGGTAATAGAGATGGACAGGAACAAGTGTCTAAAGACATTTGATGGTGGATTGGATTGAGGATCGAGATTGACCTCCTGGTTTGCAACTTGTGTAACTAGGCAGATGGGTAAGATTCCTCTTGATGGGGAAATACAGAACAGAAATAATCTGTTTGGGAAGGACAATGACAAATTCCATGTGGATAGATTGATTTAAAAACCTGTTGGACATCCAGTAGGCTATAGGAATATTGGGTTGCATATAAAATTTTGGGACTTATCAGCATATAATTAAAAGCTTTGAACTGGTGACGTTGCCCAGAGAGAGTATTTAGAGCAGGAATTCTTTACTTGAAATCCAAATATCCTAAAATTACCCAAAATGTTACATGTGACTTTTGTTAAGTAAAGGTCCATAGCTTCTTCAAATTGTCAGAAGGGGTAGTGTGAAGAGCGGCTAAGGACAGAGCCCTTGGTATCTGCATTCCTTTCAAGTGATGGGCAGGGTTAATGGTCTCAGCAAAGAAGGCAGAAGAGGAACCAGAGTGTAGAGAGAATCGTGATATCAAAGCCCACGGAGAATTGTCAAGACAGATGAGAACTGAAGAATTGTTGGCTTAGCAATTAGAAGATTGGTAAAATGATTCTTGATAAACAATATGGAATTAAGTGTATATGTATTTAATGAAACTCCCCACAGAAACACCAGGGTTTCTAAGAATTATAAAGAACATTAGCCTATAATAAAAGTTCAAATGCCTTAAGTGTCCAAGGCTATGTTAAATTTTCTATTGCCTTGCCATTACAGTTTTATCTGTCTCTTTAATATCTGAATGTAAAAACCAGCCTAATTCATCTCTTCATGTTTTCAGGATACTTCATGCAAATCTTAGTTTTAGGCTTCTGCTTATGTTTTTCAGCCTGCCTGCCCTGTTCCCTACACAACAAATCCTATTAGTCTTTCACAGTGAAGTTTGTTCTACTTCCTCTGTGCCCTTTTCTGATTGACCTATATTAATTTCCCTCTTTCTGTTCTAGTGGTATATATTGTCTTTTTGGTTTTGTGGTTAAAATTGTACTGTTTTGCATTATTATTACTTATTTTACATATTATTGCCTTCTTTTACCAATGATATTTTACTCCTGAAGTTAGTATTACCTTACATTTCATCACACCCTCTAGTGACCAAGTTTTCACATACTAATTATTATAGATACTAAAATATTTGAATGAATTTTTTAAAAATATATTTTTATTGATTTCAGAGAGGAAGGGAGAGAGAGAGAGATAGAAAGAAACATCAATGATGAGAGAGAATCATTGATCAGCTGCATCCTGAACACCCCTCACCGGGGATCGAGCCACAACAGAGGCATATGCTCTGATCGGGAATTGAACTGTGACCTCCTGGTTCATAGGTCAATGCTCAACCAGTGAGCCACACCAGCCGAGCAAATATTTGAATGAATTTAACCTACAACAAACATAATTGAGTGGAAATGTCTTTAAGGAAAAATTCATATGATGCAATTCAAATTATACAGGAGTAATTTATAGATCATTATTATGACTGTATTCCATTTCTGTGGGTAATCAAGAGTTGATTGTATATCAGAATGAATAAGATACTGATATATCAGACATAAACTTTTTGGCTTTTATTTGGAATATTAAGGTATTGAATTAATTGAATTTGTTAGGTCAAACTGGTCTTTTTTCTGTTTAAAGTTAGTTTTCAAAATGGAAATATCTTTTTGGGATTTAAAAAAATATGCATATAAAAATCAAAAGTCTACAAAGTAGAAATTGCATACTACTGATATACTATTGTCAAAGACACTAGTATGACAATGTTTTATAAGCATCTTTACTATTCATAAATTAAGTAGGTACCAGTGTTACTAAATACAAAGCTTAGGCATTAAAAATGCAAGTTACTCATTGTTTTGGAAGCATACTTCAGTGTTATGGTGTTTTTAATTTTGTTGAATGATAAATTTAGCTTGATCATCTGATTTGAAGCCAGTGTTTCTGTTTCTTTCACTGTTTGCTGGCAACTTTTGGCACAACCCAGGGCTATAGTAGGAAAAGCTGTAATAGGAAAAGAAAACAAGCAAGGTTGTATTGCTTTGTTCTGGAATCAGAAAAGTTAAAACTTTAATAATTAAGGGAAATAGATGTTAGATACTGCCAAGTGGGTCTCATTGTTGCTGAGCATATACCTGCTAACAATAATCCCAAATTTTAGAAGTTACCTAATTGGAGGGAGAAATCCATGTTACATTTTAGTGAACCAGATTGATAACAAATATATGTCTAGGCCTTTTTTTTTTCTTTCTGGAATCACATTATAGATATCTATGGAAGTACAGTTTTGTGCATATCCTCACACCATAATTTAACCATTTTTTTTAAACAGAAAGCATTTTGACCATTTTTTTAAAGAAGCAAAGTTATTTTAATTCACAAGCATTACTGTTTATTGAATAGAAATATAATAAAACATTGAGATGAAAACAGTGGGGAGAAAATAAGTGCACTCACTACCTAGGTGACTTACTCCTTCAAAGCTGCCTCAGTGCTCCTCAGCCCGATTCGTGCCTCCTTAATGTCTAATACCACATTTCCTAGACCTTCGAGGTTATTTGGCATTATTAAATTATGAATCATAAAACAGTTTCATGGGCATCCTTACTTTATAATAAAAACTTTATTAAAAAGTTTCAGGGAAAAATAAATGTAGCCCAATTAAGTTTTTATCAATATCTATGAATTAAAATACTGTAATTAAAAACTATACAATGCAGTTTAATAACTTTTATGTTTTAGAAGGCATTTTACCTGATGTCACATAGATATATGTTGGTTACTCCAGACGACAAAGAAAAAAGTTGAGAGACTTCAGAATTTTTTTATTTATACACACTTGACCATCCAAATTTAAGGGAAGAAAACATAGGTCGCTGGGATAGGGAGGCAAGATTCCAGGTACCATGGTGGTCAACAGTAGTCTGAGGGATAAATCAAAATATTTGATCGTTGGTAGTTTGAATGTCTGCTACCTAATCTAGTCATGATTGAATTGAAGGTAAGAATTCTCTGGAATCATGCTGTCCAATAGAAATATAATTTGGCCTACATACGTGTAATTTTAAATTTTCTAGTAACCACATTAAACAAAAGGAAACAAGTGAAATTGCCTTCAATAATATATTTAATCCAGTAAATCCAAAATATTCAATGAGTAATCAATATTTTTAAAAAGTTAAAAAATGTTTTACATTTTTGTGTGCTAAGTCTGAAATTCAGTGTGTATTACACTTAAAGCACAACTCAATTTGGACTTAGTCACATTTCAGGTTCTCAGTAGCTGTGTGTGGCTAATGACTATTGGAAAGTGTATCTTTAGAACATCTAGGCTTTATGTGCCCATGACATTGAGAAAAAAAACTTGCCTCGTATCTAATGTAAAATATTAAGTTACAGATTTTAGAGGATACCTATATATGTGCTGGCCAAGTAAGCCTCTAATCTAGGTTAGTTTGGGGACTAGCCATTTGCATGATAAGGATGAATAGTTTTTGTTTAGTTTAATCACCATTTGGTAAAATATTAATGAATTTCTGTACTTTTTCTGTAGGTGCAATTCTTTTGCCTATGGTCAAGCATATTCTGCCACATATAAATTCTATAAAGATTTTATGTAATATACAGAAAAATAGTTTTATTTTTATGATCTGTACATCAGTTGCTAGAAATCTGTGATTATATATTCTGAACTTTAAATAAAATAATAATGGATACCTTACTCTCTTTTTTTTAATATATTTTTATTGATTTCAGAGAGGAAGGGAGAGGGAGAGAGAGAGAAACATCAATGATGACAGAGAATCATTGATCGGCTGCCTCCTGCACGCCCCCTACTGGGGATCGAGCCCGAAATCAGTGCATGTGCCCTTGACTGGAATCGAACCTGGGACCCTTCAGTCAGCAGGCCGACGCTCTATCCACTGAGCCAAACCAGCTAGGGCATACCTTACTCTTTCTAATATTAAATTACTTTAAATAATTGGGACTGACATAATCTGATTTGTGTTTTCTTTTGTATTTTAAGGATATGGAATATTATCTTGTAAAATGGAAAGGATGGCCAGATTCTACAAATACTTGGGAACCTTTGCAAAATCTCAAGTGCCCGTTACTACTTCAGCAATTCTCTAATGACAAGCATAATTATTTATCTCAGGTAAAGAAAGGCAAAGCAATAACTCTAGACAATAACAAAGCTTTGAAACCTGCCATTGCTGAATACATTGTAAAGAAGGCTAAACAAAGGATAGCTCTGCAAAGATGGCAAGATGAACTCAACAGAAGAAAAAATCATACAGGAATGATTTTTGTTGAAAATACTGTTGACTTAGAGGGCCCACCTTCAGACTTCTACTACATTAATGAATACAAACCTACTCCTGGAATCAGCTTAGTAAATGAAGCTACCTTTGGTTGTTCATGCACAGATTGCTTCTTTGAGAAATGTTGTCCTGCTGAAGCTGGAGTTCTTTTGGCTTATAATAAAAACCAGCAAATTAAAATCCCACCTGGTACCCCTATTTATGAATGCAACTCAAGATGCCAGTGTGGACCCGATTGTCCCAATAGGATTGTACAGAAAGGCACACAGTATTCACTTTGCATCTTTCGAACTAGCAATGGCTGTGGCTGGGGTGTAAAAACCCTTGTGAAGATTAAAAGAATGAGTTTTGTCATGGAATATGTTGGAGAGGTACGTTCAACTTATCACACAGCAAATAATGTGTGTGAACGGTTTACACTTTTAAAAAGTTTCCTTTTTATCTCAGGAACAAATATTTGATAAATTTTGATATCATTTGCAAATATGCAGAAATTTTACATTTAAAAGAAGGGTCCACAGTTGTTTGGAATTGGATCACTAGCATAGTTATAAATATAAACTTGAATAAACAAAAATATATATGTACATTGACAAATGAAATACAGTCATCTTTCAACAAATACCCATTTATATGTATTTGACATTTGTCAATGTAAGTGACATTTGTAAAGTTTAAAATATGACAACTATTTTTACACTAATTTCTAAGAAGAAAATGAAATCTAAATACATGCTGACTTTGAAACTTTTAAGTTATAATTTACTGCATTCATTTGACCAAATAATAAATTTATTTTTATACATATAATGTGTATATATGCAGAAGTATTATTTCCCATGTGCCACTTACTATTCTAAGCACCCTATATAGTAACACATTAATTCTCTCAACTCTGAGGTAGTGGTATCATCTCCATTGTTACAGGCAAGGAAACTGAGGCACAGAGAAATTAAGTACCTTGCTTTAAAATCAGTGCACTTCACCACTGCTACACTTCCTCAAACTGAATGGTGGGTTAAGCTGTGACTAGAAAAATATGAGTATGACTGCATATCTGGGCTGTCAAATCTGGTATTTTAAAAGTTGTTTGGAATTGGATCACCTGATTTTGAGATTAAATTGGATCCCTATATTGATTTTCATATTTTTAGACAATGTCAGATTATTATAAATCACTATTTAGGATACTAAATCTTTTATAATTCAATTATTCTCTTTTTTTGGCTTAATAAGCACAGCAGCTAAATTTGGTTGACATTATATATCACCACAGACTTTTTTTTTTTTTTTGGAGCCTTGGTTTTGAATCCTGACTCTTCTTTACTGCTGTGTGACCTTGGGCATGGTACTTAATTTCATTGATTTTGAGAGAGAGTGGGAGGGAGGGAGAGAGACTGAGAGAGAGATACATCGATGTGAGAGATACATCGATTGGTTGCCTCCCTCACACATGCTGACATGACCGGAGATAGAGCCTGCAACCAAGATACATGCCCTTGACCAGAATCAAACCCACCACCCTTCATTCCGTGGGCCAACGTTCTAACTAACCATTGAGCAACCAGCTAGGGCAGTGGTCCTCAAACTGCGGCTTGCGAGCCACATGCGGCTCTTTGGCCCCTTGAGTTTGGCTCTTCCACAAAATACCACGTCCGGGCGTACACGTACAGTGCGATTGTAACTTCGTGGCCCATGCACAGAAGTCGGTATTTTGTGGAAGAGCCACACTCAGTGGGGCCAAAGAGCCGCATGTGGCTCATGAGCCGCAGTTTGCTGACCACTGAAGGGTGACATATTTTGTTTCTTAAGCTGAGCATGTAGTAAAGCTGTGTTGTTAAGAGCAGAACTGTAAGTGATTGTTTTGAGCTGCCGAATTTCATAAAAAACAACCTATTCTTATAAAATGAAACTTTCTATACAATTGACTGCAAATTTAACATACCTTCTCTCCTATATTTTTAATAAATTTCCCTTTGTAACTGCACACAGGTTAGTTATAGGAAAAATATCCCTTTAGAGCACATATACTTGTAAACTTAGTGCTTTGCATTCTGTTATATCCTACAAAGAGCTATAGTTATGTCGGTTTTTGAACATCTCAATAGATTAGAATGAAAGTAGTACATGGTTTCAGCTTCATTGTTAAATGGTCCTAATTCCTATTTAAACAGTTATAATTCTTTGTACCATCATTTCTATTCCCTTTGTTTTCCTGCCTTTTTTTGTCTAGCTCTTCTAGAGTCATTTGTGTGAATGTATATTTTCATGACACTTTATTTTTAAACGTTGTAGACACTACTATGTTAATTAATAGATTTATGGATCAGAGTTTCTTCACTTCAGCAGTATCTATATAATATAGTTTTTTAATTTTTAGGTAATCACAAGTGAAGAAGCTGAAAGACGGGGGCAGTTATATGACAACAAAGGAATCACATATCTCTTTGATCTGGATTATGAATCTGATGAATTCACAGTGGATGCAGCTCGATATGGAAATGTGTCTCATTTTGTGAATCACAGTGTAAGAAATACGGAAAGTATAGACAGAACTAATTAGTACTGTGTTTAATGGTTTTCCATAGTTGAGAGAATAATTAACTTTGAACCAAAGACCCTTTTAATATTTCCAAAGTATTTTAGTACAAGGGCTTCTTCTATTAAGGCATGGGATTATCACTGTATTAGAAAAATTCATTTGGAAAATTCAGAATGCAAATACCATGCATTTTGCAAGTCTTTACATATGTTACTTCACTTAAACTTTCCAACAACTTTATAAGATAGTTATTATCCTCATAGAGGAGGAAATTAATGAGCAGAGGAGTTAAAAGGTAGGAAGTAGAAAGTTTAAGAAACACATACAATTATATAGAGGTTAACGCTAAATTTTTGGATATATAACTAAAGATAGTTGTATTCTCTTAAAATGTAAACGTTAACATTTTTATAAGATTTACAAATTTGTAGAGTGTTGAAATAGTATTTAGGGCTAGTTTTCTAAATTATAAGTTAGTATTTTTTTTTAAGGAGAGAACGATGATTTTTATTTTTTAAAATATATTTTATTGATTTTTAAAAAAATATATTTTATTGATTTTTTTACAGAGAGGAAGGGAGAGGGATAGAGAGTTAGAAACATCGATGAGAGAGAAACATCGATCAGCTGCCTCCTGCACACCCCCTACTGTGGATGTGCCCGCAACCAAGGTACATGCCCTTGACCGGAATCGAACCTGGGACCCTTGAGTCCGCAGGCTGACGCTCTATCCACTGAGCAAACCGGTTAGAGCTAAGTTAGTATTCTTAAGTATTAGTCTTGTGAGATTGACTTCTCCATTTTATAGATTGCAAGGAAATGTATCTCAGAGAGTAAGTTATATAGCTGACCATATAAGGAAGTAGACCGTGTTAAACTTTTGATGGATTTTACACCAAGAAGCTAATTTATGACTAATAATGAAATGCCAGAGACCTTCTGACTCCCTTCTTTTCTGACTTAAATTTTTACTTTAATTTTGTTCTTAATAATAAATTTGAGATACTCCATATCTCCAATATTACATATTCCAGAATTTAGTGTAGAGTTCTCAATATAATCAAACAATTCCAAGCAAGAGTTTAAGTAATGAAACCCCATGCAATATGAAATTTGAGTTCTACAGTACTGACTTGATTTAGTAAATGCAGTTCCAATTCTTTAAATATGCCTTACTGAGTGAGATATTAACAGGTGAACTGATAATGTTATCTGGGATTTGCAGTAACATTTTCCAGAAAAATTAAAAAGTCAGGAATAGATGAAACAAGATTGCAAAAATGTTGATAGTTTTTGAAGCTGCATAGTGTATTCATGTGGACTTATATTATTTTCTCTAGTTTAATGTATGTCTGAAGTTTTCTATAAGTTTGAAAACAGTATTTTTACATATTCCTATCTCAGAGACCTCTAAATAATCAATTTCCAGGACATCTTAAAAAAGCAAATACTCTGGGCAACAAAAAATTTTATATGAATGTAGAAGAGTTCATTCACGTAATTTTTACTTAAATGGGTTCTAACATTCTTTTTTAGTGTGACCCAAATCTTCAGGTGTTCAATGTTTTCATTGATAACCTCGATACTCGTCTTCCCCGAATAGCATTATTTTCCACGAGAACCATAAATGCTGGAGAAGAACTCACTTTTGATTATCAAATGAAAGGTATGATTTTCAAGTACAGTTTTGTTGGTGTTAAGTTGTTTTAGTATGAAGAATCTGTTCAAGAATAGGAAAAGACTAGATCATCTGAACCAATATTAAAGATGAAAACATTGAGGCTATAAGTTTGTCTTTTTACTCAAGGTCTCAAAGCTAAAACTGGAATCCAGGTCTGCCTGACCATGAGCTGAGTAATGTTATTTCTTCTACATCACATTGCCAACTGCTTTTTTCAGAATTTCCATTATGGAAGCCTACTTATTTTAACATCCTTTCTCAGTACTACTCGTATTTAAAAAATTGTAAGCCTACATTTCTGAATCTTTACTAAGAGATGAATTTTTTTTCTTTTTCTTTTGTTTTTTGAGATGGATATTCTTAGTAAAGAAAATTGAAAGATTGAAAATTGATTTAAATCACACATGAACTTATTCCATTCCTACTGGAATTTGGCTTTTTAAAAGAACATTTAATTCTATTTACTTTATTGTGATACTATAAGTGATTTCTTTCCATTGTTTTTCTAAGCATGATGGCTTTTACATATTGTTACTACTTGATTTTATTTATGGCTCTTAAATAATGTATGAAAATGAATAATTGTGTATTGGATTTTCCCAGAAAGTTTCATCATTTCAGAAATCAATTCTCATAAATATGGACTAATAACATAAACTTTACCTCTTATTAGCCTATACCATCCTTTCAAGACAATTCATAATGATTTTTCTCTGAATATTCACATTATTTAACGCTGAAAATTTGAAACTCATTCTGAATTGTCTTAACTATCTTTCTCCTGTATTTCTTTCTCTACATATTCAGGTTCTGGAGATATATCTTCAGACTCTATTGACTACGGCCCAGCCAAAAAGAGAGTCAGAACTGTGTGCAAATGTGGAGCTGTGACTTGCAGAGGTTACCTCAACTGAATTTTCAGGAAATAGAGCTGAGGATAAATGTAGTTTTGTTTTTTTCTAATGTTAACATTTTTAAAAATAAATATTTGGGACTCTTTTCATATTATGAAGATGATATTCTATGTTAATTTACGATTCCTGTTTCAAACTATTGGCCAAAATGCATCATTGATGCTTCTGAAGAGAGGAACACAAGGCCACATAGACCAATTTGAAATATACCTAATTAGTGGTTAGATACCAAACAAGAAAGGAAAACTACTACAGGTCAGCATATACATACTTAAGAAGTCTGTGTGAACAGAGAAATGCCTTCTTCGGTGTTTAAGTGTTAAACTGATAATGTCACGATCACTAAGATCAAACATTCAATTTGCCATATACCTTGAATTTAGAGAACTAGTAAAGTTCTATTTTTGTTATTATGTTGTCATTCTTGTTTACCTATTTATTACTATAAATATTGTACTTGTATTGGAGACAAATAGGTGAGACTGAATTATACCCTGTTTTCTACTTCTTTCATTAAAACATATCTTAATGATACTGAAATTTAAGGTCTAAAATTAAATGTGAAAAAATTACAGCTTTATTTCATATTTTGAAGCAATTTAGACCATTATTTGAAGGGTATATGTTTGAACCACAATCCTATAGAATAAAAATCTCCCAAAAGCTCTAAAATTCTAGAATAGTTGACCATTAATGCCTCTTGGAAATGACACAGCACTGGGACCAGGAGGTTTTTGTTGGAGTATCAGACACGGGAAATGGGGTGCTTTCAGGGTCCTTTTCAAAGACATGAATTGGAGATTCATGTGAGTACTTCTGGTCCAAACAGTAAAACAAGATACTCCTGAGAGCAGCTGTACTTAATATAACATCAACATACACTTTCTGAGTATCAGGCTGTTTTGAACATTTCCTTTCTACCAAATTTAACTATTTTTATATTTCCTGCAAGCTCTTCTTTAAAAGTAATCTATATTTTGAACTGATACCTATTTTATATGTGAGTTTTTAAAATGTGACAAAGCTAAACTTGGCTTGGCCAAAGTGTGTGCCTGAATTATGAGACCATTTATTACTTGAACTGTGAAGACTGAAATGGAATATATTCATTGTTGGTTTTGTTTATTTTCCTGAATAGTAAAACCTCAAAACTATGTTTTCATCTCTTTCTGATTCTGGGTTTTCTAATCTGGGTTTTCTTTGTGATTCTGGGTTTTCTAATCATGGTGTTCAACATAAAAGTAAAGGCAGCAAATAAGTCTAGCTCTCGGTATTTCTAAGCTCATTGCCCTAGGCTTTAATGGCCTAAAATAAGCTTTAGTAAAATTGAACTGACTTCAAGAATGCAGCATTTCAAATATTTTTTTTTCAAAAAATATTTGTATTTAAAATATCTTCTTAATCCCTAACCTCTTTTTTGGGAGAAGCTACTTTTCATTATTATATTGTTATTATGACTTTGCTCTTTCATAATACAGGGTAAATTGTTTACATGTTTAGAACTTCAGAGTATATTTGCTAACCAAAATTTGCAGAAGGTGTGAAAAAAAAATACTGACATGGTATCAGTGTTGAGAGAGCATCATTGATTTTACAGGTTGCTCCCCTTGGCCAAGCATTCTTTGAATTATAATTGGTAAGTTTAAAGATGTGATTTTCATTTTTTAAAAGTCTGTTTCATTGCCTACTTAATCTTGTCTTTTTGTGTTAAAAATATAAAACAGGAGGGCAAAAGGAAAATGGCTATTTTCAGTCAACTGTATTGTTATTAATAGAAATTTAATGGGCCTTTGAGATTTTAATTACCTGTGTTACCCTTACGTTATTAAAAAGCTGAACTTTAGTAGAAAAATCAACATTTAGCTTCTTTACATTAGTTTCCTAAGTTGTCATAATTTTTTCTCTCAATATAAAGCAAATAAATATTCAGTGATAATATTTAGATCAAGTTTAAACTGTCAGTTAATCCACTGTAGAAGTACTATTAATACCATTGTTTTCGGTTTCTGCATATGAAGATTGTGATACACAATTGGTAATCTCAGGATTTTTCCATATATGCAAAATCTATACAGCACTTATTTTTCTTATATTTCAATAGTTTTTCTTTAGCAAATAAATGTAGACATTTGATTTTCTATTTATCATGGGTTAGCTTTGTTTCTGAATATTTTACTGTCTTTCCCAGGCTACAAAAAGGATAGAAAAATACTGATGTATTCCTGACTACCTGCTGTTGAGGTTAACCAAAGGTTTATATACCATTCCTTTCAATGTTAGATTTCTTTTTAAAAAGTTTATCGTTGTCATGGTTCGTGCATTTGGATATTAAAGTATAATTTTACACTTAGCATAATGTGAATGGATATTTCTCAAAATTGTTTGAGCATTATTATCACCAGGTATTTAAACTAGTTTCATTAAATACTGCCTAGAACTGCAAAGGAATTTTAGAATTAGAGCTAAGAAATATTCCTTGAGCAAGTCTTAGGCCTTTATTTTATGTACTCATAAATCTATGAGTTTGGTGTTGTCACCCCTATAGTACACCAAAGGAAGTAGGTTTAGACTGATTAAGTAATATTAACATCCCCAAGATCACCCAGTAAACTATACCTATATTTAATTAACATCTTCAGGCATACTTTTTAAAAAAAAAATAAATTTCTACTATGAGTTTAGACAAACTTCTAAGCCTTGGATTCATCTCTAAGGCAAATGGGGCTCCACTGGATTTCTTCTGTGACGTATCTTGGCATTTTGAAACTTTTTTGCCTTTCTAGTACTTTATAGTTCTTGGAGTAAAAAATCAAGTAGTCACTATAAATAATCCTGTTCACTGTTATTCTCTTTTTGAGGGGCCTTATTGCATAGTGATTAAGAGCATGGACTTTGTGGCCTGAATTGCCTGTATTTGAGTCCTGGCTTCAACCTTTACTAGCTATGTAAACCAGCCTCTCTGTGCCTCAGCCTCCTCATCTGTGAATAGGAATAATGAAGGTATTTACATACTTCAAAGGGTGTTGTGAGGATTAAAGGAGTTAATACACAGTGTGTGAAAGAATTAAGCATTATCACAGAGTAAGCACCATATGTATTAGCTGTAATTATTCTGTACCTTAAGTACAGTATATAAACCTGTACTGATGTTTAAATTACAGGTTTATACAGTGACGCTTGAGCAACACAGGTTTGAACTTGGGGGTCCCATGTTCAAGGGTCAACTGTATAAAGCTGTACTTTAACATCTTTTGTGATCACTACAAGTATTTTGATCAAAACTGTTCTAGTGCTCTTAGTCCTTAAATTCATTTATTCGGCATTTATTATGCCAGACTCACATATAAAACAATAAAAACTTGGCAGTATATACTGTTACATGGATGGTGTGATTTTAAAATGCTGACTAAGAATATATTCAGAATAATGTTTACAGGCAAGTTTTGAACACCCCCTCCCCTCTTGGATCACAAGCTACACTATTAAGATGAAGTCTTTAAGTGTCAGCATATACAAATGTGTATATTTGATTGCATGGTTTATGAGAATGAATTATAACTAATTTTTAGAGCTATAAATAAAATATGAAGCCTCTGGGTTTCAGTGATGGACCTATTATAATTATGACCAGATATTCAACCAATGATTTGCAATCCTCATTGGTTCTTTCCAGAGACTTTATACTCACTTGGAATTTAGGAAACAGTACTCAGATGGGAGGCGGACAAAATGAAATGACTTACAGTGACTCTAATGCTGCCCCTCATATAAATCTGTAGAATGTATTTCATCCAAAGCTTAGAGCAGCAGCCAAGCTAGAAAAAATGGGTCAGTGATCCCTTAAAACCCCTTGTATCTTTCTTACTTCCTTTGCCCCAGGTTTCTTACTGTGCTCAGACCACTCCCCATGGGCATACATATTAATAAAACTTACTCCTGAATAATTTAGAATAGTCACTTCTCTAAAATCGTGACCCAACATTTCCTTAAAGACCAATCAGAAATGACCAGGCCCTTAGCCCTATCCCTTAACCACATCAGTTTCTTCCCCTCATCCCTCCTCTTGTGCCAGTTTAACTGAAATGTGAAGTCACTGTGCAGTTTTTCCCCCATGTAAATGGACGGGCAAATCTGCCCTTCTAACACAGTGATGGTGAACCTTTTGAGCTCGGCGTGTCAGCATTTTGAAAAACCCTAATATAACTCTGGTGCCGTGTCACATATAGAAATTTTTTGATATTTGCAACCATAGTAAAACAAAGATTTATATTTTTGATATTTATTTTATATATTTAAATGCCATTTAACAAAGAAAAATCAACCAAAAAAATGAGTTCGCATGTCACCTCTGACACGCGTGTCATAGGTTCGCCATCACTGCCCTAACACATACCCTTCTGGAGAAATGAGAGGGCTGGCTTCGTGGGTCCTCTCAGCCTTGCTTCCTCTGAGCACTCCCGTTTATTTCCTCTCCCACTGACTCTAAGTCTTGTAACCCTAATTAGTCTGGTGGACCCAATACTGACTGTTGATCTGTTTATCTTGCAGCGCGGTGACAATGTGTGTCATTGTTAGTGTAACTGATCTGCAAATTGTTTTAGAGACTCTACTTAAACTAGCTTTAAGTGAAATCTCTGCTTTTGCTGCCCTAATCTACAAAATGTCAGCATACCAAAGTGCTTATTAATGTTAATTAAAATGTTATTAAATACACATGTAACTGCAAAAGCATATCCTATTGGTGGACTTTAGAAAAGTTGAATGACTCACAGAACACATGTATATACTTTTGGTATTTAATTTTTTTTTTTTTTAATATCCTTTATTGATTTTTTACAGAGGGGAAGGGAGAGAGATAGTTAGAAACATCGATGAGAGAGAAACATCTATCAGCTGCCTCCTGCACATCCCCCACCGGGGACGTGCCCACAACCGAGGCACATGCCCCCAACCAGAATCAAACCTGGGACCCTTCAGTCCGCAGGCCGATGCTCCATCCACCGAGCCAAACCGGTTTTGGCAGTATTTAATTGTTTTAAGTGGTGTCACATCTTTTGAGGTAAGTTCAGGGCTGAATTTTCCTATAACCATCAGTTTATAATAATAGCCAAGTTTATTCTTTCAATTTTAAGTATTCCTAAGACCCAGGATATGATCTATCTTGGTGAGTGTCCCATATATTCTTGAAAAGCATGTATTCTATTGTTGGATTGAGTATCAATTGAATCCACTTGATGGATAGGTGCTATTCATGTCTTCTCTATCCTTGCTGATTTTCTGTAAGCTAATTGTTACTGTGAAAGGAATGCTTAAGTCCCAGCTATAATTGTGCATTGGTTTGTCTCTCCTTTCAGTTGCTTCTCCTTTGTACAGGCATACCTCATATTATTGCAAGGCAAGACCCTCCACCAGTAAAAAGGTTACAATTTGAAGGCTCGGACAATAGTTAGCATTTTATTTTTATTTTTAGCAATAAAGTATTTTTAAAGTAAGGTATGCTGGTTTTTGTTTTTTTAGACATATTGCTATTACATAATAGGTCACGGTTTAATGAAAACATAACTTTTATGTACACTAGGAAACCAGAAATGTCATGTGACTTGCTTTGTTGCAGTGGTCTGGAACTAACCTGCAATAGCTCCAAGGTATGCCTGCATATTTGTTGTTAAGTACATACACATTTCAAATTGTATCTTGGTGAACTGCACCTTTTATAGTCACTCCACCTGTCTACTGAGTAGTGTTTACATGGCATATCTTTCATCCTTTTACTTTTAACCAACCTATATCATGTGAAGTGAGTTGCTTATAGACAGCATATACTTGGGTTATGTTTTATTTTTTCCTATCTTTTCATTGGTGTGTTTAGACCATTTTAATTATTTATCTGTTTGGATTTAGTCCTCCCACATCTTATGTTTTTCCCCCCCTCTATTTTTTGTTCCTGTTTCTTCTTATTGCCTTCCTTTAGGTTATATGAGCATTTTGACTTATTAAAATTTTGACTATTACTTCTTTGTATATATAGGTTTTTTTCAGTGGTGGCTCTAGAATGAATTCTTAAGTATCTAAGAGTGAGCTTTTTCTTTTTTTAAGAACTATGCTTTCACCTGTTGCCAGCTTCTCATATAAATACTGTAAATGCTCTTGTTTAGGTAGCTCAGCTTCTGGAGTTGCGGGAATTTCAAAATCAGAGGAGCTCTGTGAATCTGCATTGGTGCTAAGAGTTAGCAACTTTCTTTCTTGAGGTATGTGTTTCCCACTGCTTACAGTGGTTGGTTCTCCAGCACTAGAAACTACATTTACATCTTCAGAGTAAGTACTCTTTGGACAAAGTACATTTTGTTCCATCTGAGAGCCAGGAAGATTCTCTTTGACTCTTGGTCTGTAGCTACCTTTATTCAAGGAAGTACTATCCCCCCTGTTTCTCTCTTGGGAAGATAACAAAACAGTGTCAGACTGGCTGTCCCAGCCTTGACTTCCTTGTTCTGAGATGTGTGTAGACTGAGAGGAATTCTGAGAAGAGATGTGAGTTGACTCGCCATCAGAGTC